CTAATTCCACAATAATCATAGAGTATCGGCGGGAGCCACGCACAGAAGCAAGAGAACAGCTAATAATTCTGCGCTTTTTGAGCTCTTTCAGTATGGTACTGGTTTCCCAACGTGTTGCATGACGCTCAGATTTGGCAAGCACTTTGCCAAATAGTAATAAAAGGAAGTGCGTTAACAAGCCTGCGGAGTTAGTTGGGCGACTTCTTGTCTGTGAACAGTCCTTAAGAGGACGCAGACGGCACAAGGACGAATTTACTCACACGGTACTTCGACATGGGAGAGCGTCTTTCCTAGTTGGAGAGGGTGCCTTTGATTACTTCTACTTGACTGGGTCCTGGAATTACTATTTGTGATAGTCGACCGGAGGGCACACCATCGCTGTGGAATCCCCAACAAGGGGGGCGGGAAGGGTCGTTTTTGGTCGCCGGGGGAGGGGGTCTTATTTGGTTCAAGAAAATTTTTTCTTGACAGTTGATTTTCCTTGTTTCATGGACGCTATGAGCGTGTGGAGGATAGCATTTTCTCGTTGTTCAGAGAGGGGATCGTACTTGCCTTCTGAGAGAAGTTTGCGGCGTTGCGAAAAAATTGTCCCGATTGTTGGCTTTCGCGGTTGTCCCTGCTCCCCCTCCCAGCTCGTCAGCTCGATCGTATCAGAGGAGGTGAGGTCGTTATCAAACTACCTTCCAGATCCAGTCCGTGCGAACCACCTTCCAGAGAGTGGAGGGTGGTTCGTACGGACTGGATCGAAATCCTCATCCAATGATGTGCAGTGAACCGTATGGTGTCTAATCCTCTTCCCGCCCTACCCTTCTCCTACGTCTGATGGCAAACTTCCGAGAAAAGTTATAGTAACTTGGTTATAGTAGCTGGAATAAGAGAGGATGGTCGGATTGGAGGAGAAAAATTGTGTAGGAATTGTATTTGGCAAGAATGTTCGCAGCGCCTGGTTACAGCGTGGGGAACATCAGCGTACCATTTCCGAAACGATGGGCTCAAGCTGTCGGACCCTAATCCCTCTGGGAATAATGAAGCTCCTCCCATTCTCTCACTGGGATAATTGGGATCAGATGGAACTACTTGACTCAAAGTTTGTCATTAATTTTTGGCACGGGATTGATGATATGGTGGTTTGGTCTGCTGCACAAATATTGTGTTTGCACGAAAATGACTGATCGCTATTGGTTTACTGCTAGTATTAGAAGAACGCACTCCAGTGGAACTGTTCCGAGCTGCCTATTGCTCTTCTCGGTTTTCTTGCGGGACCCCACGTTTTCCTATCTAGTCCCATCAATCACGATTATTCGATCGAGTCAAAAAAACGGTTCCATTTGCAACGCAAAATTAACTCTCGGAGCAATTACTGCAAAATTGGTTTTTTGATCGCTTTTGATCGGGTGAAGTTGTGTTTCTCTCTCCCCGTTACCCGTCCTCTCGCCGTTCTAGAGCCACTTCAATTTCTTGGATTCTCTAAAATCTTGCGTAGTTTCACGAATCCACTTGCAGTTTCAGCCGGTCGAAATTCCATTTATCTGTTCGTATCAAGGTCGCTGCCACCGAGGTTTCTTTTGGGAGAAAGAACAGCATCGTTGGGAGAATCTCATGGGGGGTCGGAGTTATTCAGCGAGGGCTGCATCTAGCGCCTACCGTGAGAAAGAATTTTTCTGTGACGCTCGCGGAATTTTTCCAATTGATGTTTTTTCCGAGCGCAGGTGGTGTTACAGCAAGTGACCGCTTACCACGCTTCTGGAAACCAAAACCGGGCTCGGCTCACGCATAGTCCAAGCAAGCCTCTTTTCCTCCTCTGGGGGAATCCGTTGATATTAGAATCGTCTGGGAGGATAACAACACTCATTTTACATCGACTAGCCCCCGCGAATGATGGTCCACATCGTACTATGATTCAGTTTGAGTCTGAATGGAAGTAGAATGCGTGGCGAGTCCCGAAAAGGGATTGATCAGCTGCGAAAACTTCTCCTATGATAGTTTCCCCTTTCACACAGGTTACAGCCTTCCCACCCCCCCCCCCCCCCCCTCTTCCCCTTCCCTTTAGTTCGAAGCAGCCGTCTCCGGCAGAAACCACTCCGTATACCCATCCAGTTGATAGTCACATCCTGCTGTTTAGTCTAGGCTGTCCATAACATTATACACGGAACCAAACTGATTATGGTAGTATCTGGGGGCGAGTACGAACAGAATTTGAGTAAGGTGGCGTTCACGGTTCTGACATAGACGATCGTACTGAACCAGAGATACGAGGTGCCAACAATTTCTTTCCGTACAATGCCGCTTCCACATCTCAACAATCCAGCGAAATCGGAGAGATGAAAAGGGCTATCGATAAGCCATGAGTCACGTCAAAGCACTCGCGCAGACACTTCCACAGGTGCTGCATAGATTCTGAACAGTCTTGGAAGAGGCACACTAGTCATGAAAAGCGGAGACAAGACTCCGTAGCGAAATCAGTACATATCTTCCGTTCCCTTTGGCACTCAAAATTAAACATGGCACCAAGGAGTGGTCTTTACTGAGCCGCGGCGACATCCGCGCCGTCACGCCAGACTAGCGCGGGCATATGACGAATGTATTGTCACCCCAGACTCAGACGCATTGGCACTACTGTAGGTTACTCTGCAGTGCCCTTGCTAAACGTCATTCCGAGTACACAACGTCTCACGCAGCTATTACAGCTGCAAGAACATGGACGCAATAGACATATGGAAGCCGTTATACATCGACACAGGCCACACTCAACCTGGCATTTTAATTGTCCTCGGAATCATACCGTGAGAATAATCGATGTTCAATCTACAAAAATCGGATGCTTCCGCTCCGCGAACCCGTCAAAAGGAAAGAACGCGCTTTGCTCCTGTTACAGGATTTTTCATAAAAAACATTCCTCGCAAAAATCGAACTCTTTTCAACAAGCTTATAATGAAGTGATGAGGCACTCCTGAGCACCTTTTTGCGAGACTATCTAAGCCTATTAACCCCTGTGACAACTCGATGGTCCCTGCAAAACGGTTCGTATGTTCGACGGATTATGAACTGGGGCTCCACGACCACAGACAAGGGCTTCCCGCAATTGAATGAACTAATCTGAGCCCGTACATAGAAGAGAGAAGTCTTACCATGCTTCAATCCACACCCGAATCACATGCCAGCAATTTTCCAAGCAGGCGAATCAACGCATCTGCTAATAGCGCACCGTGATCCGGGGGCACACCATTTTATTAATCTGTTGCCTAGGACACGATCCTTCGCCCCGAGAGTCCGAACTCCGTCGGTCTCAATGAGAGCAACCAATAGCCATGCCACTCTTCGACCCTTCTCGGCTGATTTCATTCGCCTGCATGGACGTAGGCCGGTGCGTCATGAGCTAGATCTGTCAACGAATCCACAGATAAATACACCTAAATCGCTTACAAACCTCCACACATTTGCACTCCGTTTAAAGCACGACGAACGAGCTGTTAACCGCGCAACGGTGGCGAATCAGGCACCTAAATAAGCCGAGCAATGACCCTCAAATCACGCGCAAACAAGCGCGGAACAAGCTGAGGCCTCAGGGGAGCTTGTACCACGGGGGACCGAACGAAACGGCGAAGGAGGCGCGCCCAAGATGAACCGTTGTCGCTAAACCCACACACATGGGAGTCTCACTCATGATTCCATTGTCGCGTTTGTAAGCGTCTAGTTGAGAATGTCAAGTGGGGATGGGAGAGAAAGTTCTCAAGGAAGTTGGTCGAGCGCCTAATCTTCCTTCCCTGGCTATGTATGGGTCGTTTTAACTGCAACATGAAGAAAAGCAATAAATGGAATGAAGTACAGAAACAAGTAAAAAAAACAAGCCCATCAAATGAACAACATTCCAGGGCGAAGTCACTGACGACTCGTTTGTGTCGGCTGAAGTTCGGCGAATGGGCACTGAAACGGCTCCAATGATCATCTTGTCAATTGTTGCGATGATTCTTTTTGTAGTGTGCACATCGTTCAGGTGAGTTTATTTTATCTTTCCTCTGTTCTATCTTTTCGTTTTCTTGCGTGATGATGACGTAGTGACAAGTGGCGCACCTACGCGCGGTCCATTGTCACCTCCTTTCACGGTTGGATATGCTCTCTATTAGGCTGAACACGCCTCCATTCCTTTCGGGTCGGCAACAAACTTGCCTAGAAAAAAGTATTGGATTGTTCATCGACTATATGCCAGGATTCATGCGACCATGATTACGGATGGAAGCGACGCAAAGTGCAAACCCAGGATTGGCGTGGGACTTTTCCTCTTCTGCGAGTCGGAGGCAAGACTTGCATATTACTTGAGATCCCTAAAGGGTGGGCCGTCTCTCAGAAGCTTCTAGAAGAGCTTCTTTTTGGAAGCTCCAATATACAGATGGAATACGCGTATTGCCGCTCTGCAGCCAGACGTGTAAGTAAGACCTAAGGCAGCAGGTTTGCACCTCCCTCCATACATGGAGTAGAATAGCAGAGCACTATAAAGGGTCCGAAGTGGACTGCAAGAAGAAGCTAGAAATGGTTGAATCTGAGGGTCGAAATTAGAACTTACGACACAGTCAGATATATCAGACAAGGAGAGTTGAGTGCTGGTGGTGGAGGTCTGCCAGGTTTAGATCTATTAGGTTGTTCGGAAAGAAATGCGCGTTGACTTTGTCTATTTATTTCTCTTCTACTATAGGAGATTTTTCAAAACAGTTTCATCCATTAGAGAGAGGTTTTTATTGCGCATCTTTTGATATATTTTTTTCTATGTCTACCTTGTTTTTTTAGAGAAAAAAAAGTTTAGAAAATGCTCGACCAAAAATTTCGAATGCGAGCTTGTATGTGGTAAGACTTCAAGCAAGTCCTAACGACGCACTTGGGTGGACCTAATGACCCACTCGGCTCACAGGGGCAGCGGGCGGACCTAGCGACACACTCGGCGAGAAAACTGGCAAAAAGAGCTTTTTTGACCTACATTTCCTCTCCGGCGGACCTAACGACACCCGAGGGGAAAAGTAGTGAAAGAGGCTCTTTTGGCGAAGTTTTTGCGTACAGTTGGCAACAAGTCATTGCTAGTAATGGAGATTATCTTTTAGATTGACCTTGTTTAATTTCGTTTTTATAATAAAAATTTTTTACACTCAAACGCGCATTCCTTTCCGAACAACCTAATACTATTCGCAATAAAATTACGTCACAGTATTCGTTTCCACCCAATTCATTGCATATTTAGGCGCGATCCATCTAAAGCGAAACCTTGGGAGTTGTTGGTTGGCTGTCTGGTTCCACTGCTGGCTCTTATCTCCACAACAGGCCTGTTGTCTTGGACCGGCTGGAAATTTCAGGTATCGTTCAAAGTAGTCGTTGACTTAGTAGTAGTAGACGCGCGCGGTCCCGAGGCAGGCACGTTGATACTTGGTAATCTGAAAAATACATACAGATTCTTCTACTCGCGCCATCTCCTGTTCCCTTTGACAATAGTGATTGATAAGGAAACGCCTCGCGACCACTCGCATCGTTGGCCCACGATATCCCATTGCGTAGTGATGGGTGCTCTTACCTCCGTTTTTGCCGTTCTTGAGAACTATTAAAGAGTTTCAGTCGATAATCGTTGCCGCATTCTTCTTGGTGATCTCCGTCGGTGTTGATGACGTCTTCATAATTCTCCGCGCCTGGGATCAAACGAATTCCGAAGAGGAGGTGCCGGAACGAATGGCTCAAACACTTGTGGATGCCGGACCAAGTATTCTTATCAGGTGATCCATATTTCGTATATTCCCGTATAGTGTCTACGAAAACGAAAAATCATTCCAAAGAACGGAAGATTAGCGAAATTGTTGTCTTAGAAGAGAGCGAACTTATCAATCGCACTACCAGTGTACTTTCATGTTTCTTTCGAATCGGTAGAATGGCTACGTCACGACAACAATAAGAAATGGACATGTTTTCCATACCAGTCAATGAAAGTTCGAAAGATTCCAAAACCCAAATTTGCGTTGTGACTGTTGTCCGTTTGTCGTGACTAGGTGACAACAAGGCGGCGGCTTCGGTGGTGTGTACTCGGGTCAGAATGCGGTATCATGAGAGCTCACACCCTTCCAACAGATAGTAGTCGCGTCGTGTGAATGCGACCCTGATGGCCTGTCAACTTGTGGCCTGCCCCCCTACCATTGGGAGTTGAACTTGAACAGCCACGATTCCTTCAAGTCACCAACAAGAGGACATTAAATGTGAACACAGTTTCGAGTAAGATCGTACTGAAGATATGAAGATAACAGGTAAACATGAGAAGGCAATAAAACCGACATGACAAATTGATCACCATGAGAACATAAATGGAAAGAAAAGTGAGTGGGTGCACCATGTTCGGAAGGAGGGAATTCAAGAGAGGTCGAAAATGAGCTATAAAGATATTTAAGAGGAAGGATTAAGCTGATCGAGACAGAAGACGAGAAAGGGCCCTGGGATGAAAAGACTTTTAGAATATGTGCGCTCGGTCCGCCGGTAGGATGAAGACGACGTTCAATATGAGTAATGATACTGACTGACTCTATAAATGATTCCCCGCATTTTGCAATTTGTGTCAGGACCTATGACAACGTACAACCAGAGCGCGGTTTTCCGAGCAGGTCTTATACAACTTCCACGCTCTTCAGCCGTATGCCTCTCAAATTGAATGGAATTTATGACAGAGAGTACGCGATATACCTTATATTCAACAACGTCATATAGGAATAATTCATCGGTTTTTCGTGGACAATAGGTTTAATAGGTTTCTTTCAAACCCTTGAAATTTGTACCGTTTCAGTTCGATCACGAATGCGATGGCGTTCCTCATAGGGATGACATCTCAAACGCCTGCAGTACGATCGTTCTCGATGTACTCGGCTATCGCTATCTGTATTTGCTTCTTCTACCAGCTGATCATGTTCAGTGCTGTGTTGTCTGCCAGCGGATACCGCGAACGGAGTGGTCTGCAAAGTTTTTTCTGTTGGAGAAAAGCAAACCCTAAGGTAAATTAACGCTCGCGAAAGCTGACTCCATAATATCCATTCGTTTTAAGGCCGCGTTCTTACTTCGCGACCCGAGCGAAGTATTCGAGCGACTGCAGTTATCCGCGCTCTAAATCCAATTGTTGGGCCGCTGCAAAGTTCGAAATAAACTTACCCCGACTGTGATTAAGTTAGAATTTGCACCACCCCAGCGGTTAGCGCTAGAGCGTCGTCGTCGCGGTGTTCCAGAATCGACTGACTGTCTCTCGAGTAGCGAAGTATAGACGCAGGCTGCGTTGTAAATGTCAATATGTTTTGTTCAGGCTAGATTAGAGTTTGTGGAACGAGTTGTGGGAATGCAAGCAACGATTATACGACGATATTCCGAACTCCTCCCAAAATGGCAGACAAGGTTCGTGCTCCCTTTGTATGATGTGCTTTTACATGGGAAATATCCAGGCGGCTATCAGTTGAAGGGTCATATGGAGGACTGCTTATGCTCATCCCAACCGAATAGAGTCACCGTATCGTTCAGTGTTCCCGGAGCTTGTCTCCTTTCACTGAGGAGACTTTTGCTGAGGCAGAACTTCGCCTCCATTGATAGAACTTGTTTCCACCAGAGAGTCCCAACCAACTCGAAGTTGTTGGTGCCAAATTTACCTTATGCAGCTCTATCTCATTGTTACATTTCAGTGTTTACTCACTCAGAAACTCATTGGATGTCTCTTAGAATTTACCGTTTTTGTAGAGACACAAAAATGATTTTCTTGGATCAACACCCGCGTTTCCAACTCTACATTATACTTTCTTGAGTTTTCTCTCTTGAATTCTTTCTTCTTTTTACTCTCTTTCTTTCCTTTTTTTCTTACTTTCTTCCCTTACTCACATTCTCATCTCTCTTTTCTTACATTTATCATTTCTCTTTCATTTCTCTCCTTCTTTCTTTGTTTCTTTTTGTCTATTCATTCGTTCATTCATTGTTTGTTTGTTTCGTTTGTTTGGTTGTTTGTTTGCTAGTTTGTTTGTTGGTTTGTTTCCTTTTGTTTTTCTTTTCTTTCTTTCTCTTCTTTCTTTCTTTCTTTCTTTCTTTCTTTTCTTTTTCTTTCTTTCTTTCTTTCTTTCTTTCTTTCTTTCTTTCTTTCTTTCTTTCTTTCTTTCTTTCTTTCTTTCTTTCTTTCTTTCTTTCTTTCTTCTTTCTTTCTTTCTTTCTTTCTTTCTTTCTTTCTTTCTTTCTTTCTTTCTTTCTTTCTTTCTTTCTTTCTTTCTTTCTTTCTTTCTTTCTTTCTTTCTTTCTTTCTTTCTTTCTTTCTTTCTTTCTTTCTTTCTTTCTTTCTTTCTTTCTTTCTTTTTTCTTTCTTTCTTTCTTTCTTTCTTTCTTTCTTTCTTTCTTTCTTTCTTTCTTTCTTTTTTCTTTCGTTCTTTTTCTTTCTTTCTTTGCTTCTGTTCTTCCTTCTTCCGTTCTTTGTTTGTAACTCTTTCTTTCTTCTTTATATGCTATCATGCCTAATATATGTCGGTAGTACTCAAAGTGCACTTTTTTGGATCTTATAGAAAAGGCAATTTAGTGTTCCGGAAGCCGGTAAACTAGTACTAAACAGTAGTTAGCTATGCGCGAATGCTCTCAACGTTTAGATTAGCTTCGGAATTGTCGAGTTATTACCATTTTCTGGAGAAGCATCACGAAAGTAATTCATTATCTGGCTGCACCCCCAGATTGATCGCTCGAGAAATTCTCCGCCGGAAATTTTCAAGACGACACGTACCAGTATATTCCCGTTGATATTCCAACCGTTTTATTCCGTCGCCAATCAATCAAAAGTGTTCCAGCGGAGGATATGTGATTTCTGTAGCATTCAGCGTTCCATTTGGGATAACACTAAAAGACGACGTTCCTGTTATCTTGTGTTCTCTCCGCATATGAACAAGACGTTCTGTTCTGAGCTTCGCACTGACATACGCTTACGCTCGAGAGTATCGGCCAAAATGCTTTTTTGTTAGTTCCTTGTTCCCGCTCTAGCAGTGATTTCAAATTTGATATACTGCACCTTCCAGCAGCGCAAATTGAATGCAACGTTTCCCTCAGAGTGGTGCGCCGTGCATACTTTTCCCACTGCACCGCTTTTAGCGTGTGAAGCCGCCTGGAACTTTCGGATCCTTTAGTAGCTCTACAGCGCACAGTACCCTTCACTCTCGGCAGATGGAACTGGATATTCCTCTGCTAACGTTCAGAAATTGCGAGGATCGCTACTTATCTGCTGGCTATGATAAATCCTTCTTCTGCTCAACATCCGTCTGCACTAGGAACATCCGTTTAAGTGGAGATCGGTGCCTGAGTACCACTGAGGGCTAAATACTAGGCGACCGCGATGGCACGTGCTGGGAAGGCATGAGGATCATTCCATAAAGACAGTACTGGACTTGACTTGAAAGTAGAGGGCAGAAGGCCACAACGAGCCTCGAAGAAAAGATGGAGAAACGTCATCAAGAGGAAACTCGCGGGCTTTGCGACGGCGCGACACCAATACGAGAAGAAAAAACTATTTAGTAAGGGAGTGCTGGGGAAACATGTAACCATGGATGTGGTAGAAATAAATGCTAGATGTTCAACTAAAAAAATCGCTGAGCATCTTGGAAAACAAAAAAAAATCGATAGCAGAATACTTCACTGAACATTGATTGGCCTGGCGAACATCTTCCACACTTCTTTTCGGGTGAGAAAACGTCTCGCATACCTAAAGTGTACAGTTCAAGGAAAATGAAATCGCCCACGTCTGTGGGTTAGACGAGGCGCAGCATCTCGGTGTTAAATTGAGTGGTGGCGAGCAAAACACACAGTTGGTAATCAGACAGGACGGTAGTGAGAGGGAGGACCACTCGTGTCGTTTCTACCACTGGTCGTTTTCTTCCTAAATCAATCGCTAACGATATGGTAGAGCAAGCACTCAATGGTCTTTTTGCTGTTAGTTCACTGATTTTAGCTTGCTGAAGATCTCGAATTTGTTTGTAGGGTTGAACAGGTGGTGGAGATAGTATCGCCTTCTTTGTCTTACCGAACAGATGTCGAGAGCGACTCAACGGCAAAATGACATGATGAAATTTCATTTCACGCGAACATCAAAGTAATGTGTACACACCGTCGTCCGTCAACTTCATTACCTCAAACATGGCTCACTTGAACCGTTTGAAATCGGCTTTTGCTGCATTTTTGGAAACTTCTATCGTTTCCAAACTCACTTTTTTTAGTTACCAAGAACAGCTTTTAATCTTGACGTCAGGAGCCTGTGAAGAAATAACTCTTCAGTGCGTATTAGCAAAAACCGACTCACTATCCAGTGCCTAGTCAGTCGCTGGAGATAGTCGTAGCCAAAGAAGCGGCAGCCGGCTCCTCTTTTCAAAGAAACCTCTTAGCAGTATACTACAACACTCCATATCGATGTTTCGAGCGAAGTGGTCAGGCGAGAAAAACTAATGAACGCGGAACTGTTCCTGCGACTATCTTTTTACCGCTATTGTAAGGTTCGGCGAAGTAGTGTTCCATAGACTATCGGACAAGTAGTTTGTGGTTTATGTTGGTAACAGTTTCTTCCCTTGAACAGTTACTTTGTTTTCTTTTTCTGGGTATGCTACCTAACCAGTGTGTAATGTGCTTACTTCCAGTCACGAGTCCTCCGACTTGTACACGGGGAAAGGCGATTTTAGGGTCTTGTGAAGCTGGGTAAAACCTATCATATTTGCAAAGTCCTACATATTGGAATGGAAGGTATAATGATTCTCCTATCTCGCTTGCAGACTCTCTATCCTTCACTTCCATTAGCACACCCATGAAAACTTCGCTGGTAACCTAATTAGAAGAAAGGAGAGCAATAAATCATTTTCAGAAAAAACACCTAGTACCGCACATAATTCGTTTTGCTCATTTCCCATACGAACCATCGCTATTTTGTCAATTTTGAGGTTTTACAGTGAGGTAGGATTGTTGAAATAAGGACGACATAGAGAAAGAAAGAAAAAGAAGGGGAATTATAACATAGACACTTATGCGAAGACTATGCATAACAAGATCAGAAGAATGAAATGGAAAGCAAAATGGAGAATATTGCCTAAAGCACACCGAGAAACACGAGATATAGGACCGTAATCAATTGTATCAAATTGGCTATAACGCAGAACAAAGGAGGCAATATGTGAATGACTTTGTTGACATGGATTACAAATTCAAATTAAAAGCTGCAGTGGCATGAACGATAATCAGTCTTAATCATCGCGATCAACCTCAACTTTTTTTTAACTAGTCTCATCTCCGATCATACTCACCTGCAATTGTGTATTTCTAACATAGTAGTTTATTTCTGTACATTCACACTTAAAAATGCTAGATCTAATAGATCTACCTATTGCTCAAGAGTTTTCCAACACATCCATTACATTACGAGCAAACGTATCAGTCGAATAGCCAGTGTTGAATAACCTCTGTGTATATAACGGAAGTTTTATTATCAAGGGAACTATATGTATCATTGTATAAAAATCTGATTGCCCTTAAGTTAGGCTAAAGTGGTCTGTTCACCGTACAACTTATTGCTTATCTTACCATTTACTACGTCAGTTGTTGAATATAAGTAATTATAAGATATCCCGCAATGAGTTCTATTTCAGAATATGGTCGTACCGACACATCTACAGACTCTTCGTACAATTTGTGTTCATGCCAAAAGCATTTCGCAACAACTGAAAAAAGTCAATGATGTGACATAGATTTGACACGGGTTTCTTCGGGAGTAGTGAGGAGATACCAGTAGCTGCTTCGCGAGCAAGCAGCGATTTGACATCGAATCAGTTGTGTGTTAATCGTGCAAAACTTATTTCACGGCTTTATCTTCAGAAACAGCAGAACTTTCTTTCCTTCTAGGTTTTGACTCCGTCATATGCACGGCTATGCGATCCTTCAACTTTGTAAGCTGAATGTTAGAGGAGCACAGGCGACCGAAGTCGTGTAATGTCTTTCGTGGGCAGACAGACGGGGACCGTGTCGTCTCCTTGCGTACTCCTTCGATTACAGCAAACACAACCCTCGAAGATACCTGTCACGCCTTTTTTATTTAACAATTGATTCATTCATTCAATCATTGATCTTCAGTGCTCGGATCAGAGGGCACCAGCTTGCCAGCTTTCGGTTTTTTGAGTCGAGAAATAAACAGTAAAATTTGCAAGAGAGCATAAGCAAATTGAACTGAAATTGCAAATCAGCTACAAAGTGTTTTGTCGGTAAATCAGACAAAAATCCTAGCTGGTTCGCGCCACTACCGCGGCTTATCCCTTCAACCACAACTAAACATTGTTAATGAGGACATTACAAAAAACGTCTAACACCCTCTGAAATGAATTGATTCCCTTTCAGGCTGTTATTATTAATATTCATGGGATTCTACTACTACGCGTGTGTCGTTGGCATCTTACAATTGCGTACACTGATCTCCATCGAAAAAATGGCTCTACCCGACTCGTATCTTCATAAATTCCACAGTCATTTCGAAGCGTCATTGAAAAACATGCAACCTATCAATGTATTCATTTTGAATCCAGGCGATCTACGGGATCCTGCACGATTATCCAGTAAGAACTCAGTTACTGATTGATTTCAGCTTGAAAGACACGAGTTCGCTGTTTCAGCTATAAAACAAATTGTAAGCGAATTCGAGAACTCCACCTACAGCTACGGACCCGAGAGCACAGTCTTCTGGATTCCCGCCTACGAGGAGTTCTTAAGTGTATGTTCTTTGATGGCAGATAATTTCATAACGTTACCACTAAGTTTCGTAGGAATTCGACCTATGAATGATGATTCGCGGAAGCATCCGATGTACATTTGAGTGTTTTTAAGTTCCCACATGAGAGTAACACCAGCTAGACGACCCCGAGGGGTAGAGGGTTAGGTTGGCCTGGGCCTGAGTCAATTAGGAACTCCAACTCCAATTGCTTGCCACTTTCGGCTACACCGCTTGCGCCTCGTGGCAAGATTACCCGCTGAAGGTCATTTCGACAAAAACCTTGATGTAACTCAACTGCAAATGGTTGTCGAAGTGAATCTCGTGCAAAAGTGGATGTTGAAAGAGAACATCGAGGGAACTAGCTGTGAGACAAGGCGGTAGAAGAATTGCCGCGTCGTGGACCTGGCCTGCAGCCGTGTCAAAGGCACTCATTGCTCTAGCACTTTCAGGAAGCCACGTCGACACTGATAATCGTGACATTTCAGTTCTACGGCGAAACGGACGAATTCACGTACGTGGAGATGCCAACGTTTTTCAAGTCAGCAGCGTACATCTATCTGACGACCTTCGTGAAATACAACGAAAGTGCATGTTTGGAGAATGATCCAAAATGCATAACTTCATTCTTTTTCATGACCAACTTCCACGGGGTGAGGTCGACAATGATTTATTGACTGCTTCATTTTTTATTATTTCCTGCAAATCGTCGCAGTCCGGCGGGGGTGTTAGAAGGCGTGGAGTGAGTTCATCCGCTGCGTTTTCCAGCGCTGCTTGTCTGTTGTGTAAACCAGCCATCATTGGAAGGAAACGCAGCCGCGATTGGACACACCCATGGTATTGCTCCGCCGAGCTGCAACGGTAGCTGAGTAATAGTTCAAGAATTTCCTCATTAAGCTTTCAGAGCAAAAGTTCCCTAGCGGTCACGTAGTCGACTCCTTATGCAAAACTAGGTTTGCTCTGATGATAAGGAGCTCAAGAGGGGCAGGAAACCCCGTTTTCAGGACAGCACTTGTTGTGAAGAACATAACGGAGGGGAGTGTAAAGTTGCCGCCAGGAAGGGGTTTTAATTACTGCCGAATGAATGAGAGACTTTTCACAGAATCCATTTTCTGAGATTTCTTCAGTTCCGCATACGCTATGTACCTCTGTGCTCAGTGCTGAAGTTTTGGGAGAATATGAGAAAAGAGGGTCATACCGAAGGCGAACTTTTGACGGGGGTCGTACAACAAATTTGAGAGCTGTCCTATTTATTCAAAATTTCATGTCTGCATTGGTGTGCCCTGACCGTAATGACTATTTCATTTTGTTGAAAAGGAATGCGCGTTACGTTAGTACAGTTCCTGGAAAATCTTTTTAGGGCCTGTCCCTTGCAGAAGTTGTCCGGAATGTTCAACACATGAAGACAAATCCCACGATCACAGATGGTGGGTAACGGGGCCCAAACACGAACGACAACGTGCTAGGTGACTGATCAGTGGAGGAAAAAAAATAAAAGAAACTGTCTGAACTGCCCTATATTGGACTCCATGCCCATGGCAGGTTGTACGGCGTACAATGAAGAGAAGGCATATTTGTACGGATTTCCACTAGTTGTTATCATTACTATATCTGCTCCTGTGGGTAATCAATTCACTCTCACCACTCAGAGCTAGCGGAAAGGCTGCTAGCTAGCAGCTAGCAGCCACTGGGGGCTGGCAGGGGCGTAGGAATTGCTCATGTGCCTAGTTTTCCAGCTTTCCCAGAGTTCATGCAAATTTTTACTTTTTTCACACAGCCTCCGCAATCGCCTAAGGGATCGCCTGGCACATTTTAGGGGTTGCAGCCTTGCTATATCGCGGAACGTGGCTTTGATTGTCACTATGGTAATCGATCATGAGCATGTTATGAACTCAACACTTTGAGTTCAAAACTGGTTTGAGAAGTGATTTCGAGTCTGTCCTTTGTGGGAGTGTTCCCAGGAACACTTGACCTCACACAACTACACACTAGACTATTAATGTTTGCGGCCGCACGCACAATAACAATCTACATCAATGATTGATATAGATCTGTATCTCGAAGACTCGTGCTGTAACGGTCTTTTTTTTGCTGAAGTTGTATGTGATACAATTTATTGTGTGCATTTCTTTCAGCATATAAAATACCATGAGCTGATCCCAGCTATGAGAGACTGGCGTCGAATTGCGGCAAAATATCCTGACTATGACGTCGTGCCCTACACAGAACATGCACCGTTCATCGATCAGGTAGCTCACTATATTCTATCGAATTTGTGTAGTGTACAAGGAGTCAAGTGCCAGTGTTTCTGATAGAGCGTGGCAGAGCGATTTGATTCTGAGTCCTCTGAACGCCATGTATTTGGCAATAAGTGATGTCTAAGTGGTTTACAAAGAGTCGTATTTGTGATCTGACTTGTATTGCACCACATTACATTTGGTGTATTTGCGCGCCCTTCTGTGACTTAGCCAAGCTGGTTGTTTGCGTCATATTTGTGCATAGCATATTTAAAAGGTACGGTTTTCAATAATAGGACTGGATATTGATCTTGCACACTCCCCGAGGCCAATAACGTTCGGGTGCATGAAATTTCAACAGCAGTCTGAACAATATTGCTCAATAATGTATATAGCTGTATAAAGTATTCATGTATTAGCGAGCACTCGTAGAACGAATGAAGAAATCTACCGCTCTTATTGTTCAGAATTCAACACAGAGATCTTTCCGCGCGCGATCTCGCACTTGACCATACTCCATCGTTAGAGGGGTTTCGGATTAGAAGTTGTGTCTGCAACGGTTAGGCATATCAATGTAAGAGCGGGATATTCGTACGATTGGATTTATTGAATAGATTTTCATTAAATCACAATTGATGGTTTGCGTTTTAGCTAGCAATGGCTTCTCGAGGGCCTATTAGTTTTTCGAACTTTTAGACCATGAGCCATAAGAGGGTGAACTTACTCTGCTTTTTGGCTATGCATGCATGATGCTCCCTTCATGTTCGTTCTCGTAACATTTTTTGACTGGGAACGGTTTGGAGAATGGGCGGAAATAACAATAACCCGAAGGTATCCCATACGAGACATAAGGCGATATAGTGTAGGCGAAATCAGGCGCCTGACCCGTCTTCTAGTGACTGAAAACTGGAACGTTTTGGTGCAATTACTAATATTCTTCGTATTACAGACGGTGGCGATTGATTCAACTGTATGGGGTTCTATGGCAGCTGCATTGTTTTGCACAGCAGTTGCATGCTTTATCTTCATACCGAACTTGACATGTATTATAACGGCGTGCTTTTCCGTGCTCTCAATCACTCTTGGAATTCTCGGACTATTGAGCCTTTGGGGTAAGTTACTGCAGTCTACAATGTTCTGAGTTACTGCTTTTTTTGCACTCAGCAAGATGACAGGCCAACGACT